TCCAAGTTCTTTTTTTTTTTGTTTGTTTTGAGATAGAGTCTCACTACTTTGCCCTCAGTAGAGTGCTATGGCATCACAGCTCACAGCAACCTCCAACTCTTGGGCTTAAGCGATTCTCTTGCCTCAACTTCCCAAGTAGCTGGGACTACAGGTGCCCACCACAAAGCCTGGCTATTTTTTGGTTGTAATTGTCATTGTTTCGCAGGCCCAGGCTGGATTCGAACCCTCCAGCTCTGGTACATGTGGCTGGTGCCCTAGCCGCTTGAGCTACAGGCACCAAGCCTTAGTCTCCAGGTTTTAGTTAAACATTTTTTCCCTAAGTAGAATCATTTGGAAAGTGATTTTTATTTGGTATACATCATTGCTGGTATTTTAAAATGTTAGAATTATATGTGTGCATTTCAAAATCTACATCAGGAAATCAAATCCTATTTCCCCTTATTTGGTTAGGGAATATATTAATAGGACTTCTTTTTTTAATTTTTTAGTTGTTGTTTGGGATTCATTGGGGGGTACAAAGAATTAGGTTACACTGATTGCATTTATTAGGTAACAGTCCCTCTTATTGTGTCCTGCCCCCAAGAGGTGTGCCCTACATTGTGACCCTCCATTCTTCTCCCTTCTCCCCTCTCATTTACTCATTCCCCTACCCCCACCCCCTTGTATTAGCTCATCTACTGCCTTCATTTTAGAATTGAGTACATTGGATTCTTGCTTCTCCATTCTTGTGATGCTTTACTAAGAATAATGTGTTCCACTTCCCTACAGGTTAATACAAAAGGTGTAAGGTCTCTTTTTCAGTGTCTGAACAGCATTTCATGGTATACATATACCACAGCTTGTTAATCCATTCCTGGGTTAGTGGGCATTTGGGCTGTTTCCACATTTTGGCGATTGTAAATTGAGCTGTGGTCAACAGTCTAGTGCAGATGTCCTTAGGATAAAAGGATTTTTTTTCTTCTGGGTAGATGCCTAGTAATGGAATTGCAGGATCAAATGGGAGGTCTAATTTGAGTTCTTTGAGGATTCTCCATATTTCCTTCCAAAGAGGTTGTATCAGTTTGCAGTCCCACCAGCAGTGTAAAAGTGTTCCCTTCTCGCCACATCCACACCAGCATCTACAGCTTTGAGACTTTGTGATGTGTGGGCCATTCTCACTGGGGTTAGGTGATATCTCGGGGTGGTTTTGATTTGCATTTCTCTGATTAGGGACAATGAGCATTTTTTTCATATGTTTGTTAGCC